TTGAATTTCTTTCTTAAAATCTGATCAAGAAATCTTAGAAGAAATAATATATATATATATATAATAAAAATATAGACACTTATAGATATTAATATTTATATATTTTGAAAAAAATAAAATATTTTAAAAATATTATATCAAGTTAATTCTTAATGAAATTAGTATTACTCAATATAATATGGACTCATTTACAAAAAAAAATATAATGGTGGATCAGTATAAGATTTTTTATTTAATATCATTACTTACTTTTATTAATACAGTAGCGATCGAAAATACTTTGATGAATATATTAATTCCGTTAATTAAAAACAAAGAAGAAATACAAAAATTGATATGTTTTTTTTTAAAAAAAGATATTTAATGATTTAATGCGTCCAAAAAATTACAATCAACCTACTCCTTATTTTATTAAAGAAATTTTTCAATGCAGTTTTAAAAATAAATTTTATATGTAAAAATATTTTTTAGCACTACTGTATATTTACTTAATTCAAATAATTCTTTATTTCGTACATTTTAATTTTTTCCATCTCAAAATAACTTAGTAAATATATTGATCTAAGTAACTCTGCTTAGAGGTAAGTACACTCAAATTATTATAAATAAAATTAGAACCCAGGTAAGTTTAAATTTACTTCGTTAATTTGGTTTTATTTTCACTTAACAGCTGAAAAAAAAATGTGACTTTTTCACATTGACTTTTATTAATTCGTTTGATTTTGCATAAATTATTTCATCTGTGACTGTTTATATTTATTTATAAATTTAGCATATGATATAATTGCGTGTAATTAAAATAACATTGAGGTTAATATTAATTTGAAATAGTAATTTTATGATTTAATGTATCAACTCATTATTATCACTACATTGAGCATCGAACTACTTGTAAGTACACTGAGAAAAAAATTTACTTCATACAAAAAATATTTCATTCGATCATTAACATCGAAATTTCAAATAGTCACAATAAAATATTTCTTCGAAATTATGAATATTTAATTGAAATCATTTTATTTACTCAAATGAATGAAATGTCATTTATGTTCAAACTTGTCGCAACATGGAACCAAATGACAAAATGTGTTGTTGATAACACTACTATTAGTCTGAATAAAATATTATCTTGAGAATACTCCAACTTTCTTTTATTGATTGAATAAAAAATTCTTTCATTCAACGAAATTTTTTTCTCAGTGTAGTTTTTAAATTTATCAAATATAAATAATGATCATCAATAGTTATAGAGAAGGTAATAAAAGCAATGGTTGATATTTTTTTGTTGTAACATTCGTCAAAAAGTCACTATAGATAAATTAATTACTTCAATTGGCAAGTTTAATTGTCGTACGGAAAGTAATTTAATTGGATTACCGTGGTAGCTTGTACAGCATATCCTGAGTGTATCGATAATCTATTAATTTAATTTTATAAGCACAGGATGTATGTATGAGTAGTCATACAACTTGTTTATACACATAAGTATGTAACATCCACGTTAAATACCATGCCGGTAGATTAACCAGTGATACACGTTTCTATCGTAGTAGATAGCATCTTACTGAATTGAAGTTGTGTATTTTTGTAATAATTACAATGTAGATTGAAAATTTTCATCAAGTTTTCTTATCTTTTAGCATTGTATAATTATGTGAATTTGTTATTTCAATTACTTGGTGATATTTATCGTAAGAAAAAAAATTATTTCAAAAAGTGTTTACACAGAGAGAGAATTTTTTCACTAAATGTAAGTGTAAAAATGATAAGTGCACATTTCGAAATTTAGAAGTAAAAATATTTTTATTTGATAGTAAATTTTGAGTTCTTGTATTCACTATTCTACAATTCTATTACACACTCGAATTGTAATATTTCATATTTATCCTTGTATAGTTCACAATTTTGATTAATAATAAAACTTTTACAAGAAAAAATTTTAATGTATACTAATTAAATAATTTCTTATTACCATTTTTCTATCCAAAGCGACAGACTACTATTTATTGGAGTAAAATTTACAATTCCTTTTTCTCCGTGTAGTAAAATAATTACTTAGGATAACGTAAAAATTATTTACAATAACCTAAAATTCACTGTTGAACAGAAATATAGTTAACGTATAAATTGAACGGTTAAAATTTTTGATTGATAATTTTTCAAAAATTCCTATCTTAATTACCATAAACATAATCAAGATAATTTTTCCTATATATTTTTTCTCATGTACATGTAAATAAATATGTATACCCTTGTTATATATTCGTTTCATCAGCATTCAATTGTACAATGAATACGCGCGGACAAAAATTGAAAGCGTATGTGCAAACTGAAAGAACGTCTTTTGCGGTTGTCTTTTCTGATTCGAGGCCCGGAAGATTGTTGGGACTACGCGCCTGTCGCAGTGAAACGTACCATTTATCCACGTCAACCTCGTTCGCCGGCACCGTGAGGCGTCTTCGTATTTTCTCTTTATATACTCTTCTTTTTTGTTAATCTTTTTATTATTCTTACCCTTTCTTTTCTTTCCATGCCGACATCAACACAATATTCTGCAAAATACACACATAAAATAAAGTATGTCTGTAAAGACACGTACAACAGTATACATTTCACGTATCCAGTTGAACTATTAATAATTTTTTTTTCTCTAACGACGATGAAATAAAAAAAAACTCATCAACTATCCCTAGAAGGTTTTAATTTTTATTATTCGATATTTTTCTACTGCAATAATTAGCAGTAATTACACTGCAAATCTAAGTGTGTTATTCTTGTAAACACTTTTAACACACTAAGCCTCTTCAATGTTAAATGCCATAAACAAACTATAGATTTTAACACACTATGAAATGTGTAAAATCATGTATAGTTTGTTTATGGTCATTTTACATTGAATATGCTCTATATGTGTTATTTTAACACGTTTATAAAATCTTGGGATTTGCAGTGTATTCCATGGAATAAAATAATACTGTAACCGGAAGTGAAAAGTTTAGTTAATCGATGCAAAAGTTATCTAAAACATAATTCAATTTTTCAACACCAGGGGGGGGGGCGGAAGAAAAATGAAATTAAAAAGGTGTTTAATTAATTCATTTCTTATATTTAATTTCAATATTAAACAGTTAACTCAATTAATGTTCAAAAGATTCTTTATTGTTTTTTCAGATTAAAAAAGGCCCAGCAGTCTTGTACATTTGTATACATATTCAGAGTTGCGTATTCCGGATAGACGCGAGCGATAACCATGCTTAATGCGGAAATTAACCGTTATATCTTTGCACTTATTTACACATGCCTCAGCCGAGATAACTTATCCAAACGATATTTTCGCAAACTGCAGCCTACAACTAAATACAATTATTATTTTTATATTCTTTGTGTTCAAATGCCACTTCAATCACATCTACTCTCTGTTGACTTGAGGTAAGTGTAAAGATAGAGTACATACTTTATAAAAATGAATCAGTGAAGATCCAATGTACTTAATATTCACTGATTTATTTTTAGGGAGTATTTTTTAATTTAATTCATCATTTCATTGCTAGCTTTGATTAAAATTACTAAAAAAGAAAAATAATCAGTTAAATGTCATTTAAGGTTCCGTAATGTGGTTCATTTACTTTATTAGTCTACCAGTAAATAATTCCTAGCAGTAAATAAAATGCAAAAAAATTGTCTATTATACTTTCTAGTTGCTGAAGAGTCTTAGAGATATTTTATAGAATAAAATATAAAATTCTAAAATCAAACATTTGCCCACGAGATGTCTCTTGTTACTGGCATCAGTTCAGATACCAGTTCGACAATTCTCTTGCTCTCTTCATTCTCTTTCTCATTCACTTCCCAGCGACTCTCTACAACCAATGACGAGGCGACTTTATCATCGCGAACTTGCTTGATTGGTCCGCGTATCGTGACTCCTATCGAGCGATTCACAAACCGCGCCTAGTTTCTCAGATTCTATACTTGAAGTATTCAGGTAAGTTATGCCACACTGAGGGGTTACAACTCGCCACCTAACCACTTGCTTTTGTGTCAACAATCAACATGATGTCTTGGAGCTGAAAAATACAGAAAACCCAAATATCAATTGATAGAGGGGAGTTTTTGTTGTTGCTGTTGTGTGATGTGCGTATGAATCAGAAAAAGATGAATCTCTCTATTGAGGTGACTGACTTCTAGTCTTTTTAAAAACAGTCGAGTGTCTGTACAAGAGTCCTTGAAATTTTTTAAAAGTAGACTCCATTGCATTATTAATTTAATTTTGTTTGCTCCTGGGGATCAAAAATAGCTGATAAATAATTGAGAATATCTAAATGGAGAAAAAAATTAATTTGAAAGTTTGTAAAATTTTCTGTTAAATAAATGTTACTAGAGAGAGAGGGAAAATAATCGCGCAAGCGTCGCGATATTCTCGACCCTTCATACTTCTCTGCAACCCTCTTGCGCTGAGAAACCCCTCCCTATTCAACGCGCTCCGATGTTCGTCAGCTACCCCTCTTCTTCTCTTCCTTCCTGACGTCTGCTGCCGCCGGCAAGTTCTCGTTAACTATATCCAAACGCTTCCTCGTCGGGTCGTCGTAACCGACGGTATATTTTCGGCACAAGCATCAATTTTACATCAATCTCGTTGGTCCAAGTGATTATTCAAGTGTTTTATTTTTTTTTTTTTATCATCTCTTCCTGTCATCTTTATTAATTACGTGATTGTTATGATAATAAACCCAATTATCCAATGATCATTGCAATAATTGGATTAACAATCATCTCCAATGGATTGGCAAAAACCAAAAAAAAAAAAAGAAAAGCCGGTGAAACTTGTGTAAATGACAACTTTTAACAAGTGATTACTATAATTGTGCTCGTACATTTCTGCAGTTTACACCTTTCTTAATCACGAAAATCCAACAACATTTTACGATAGATTAAATAAGGATATATGTAGAGACATTAACATAATATTTTAATTTAGCAAGATGGTTTTTTTTTTTATGCCTTAAAGTTGATTTAATTTAAATTGTTAATTATATTGAAGAGTTAAATGTTATTTGGTTATCTTAACATGTGAAAAATTTAAATGAAATTACCGTTAATACATCATCCCTATAAAGAGAACAATGATGTAGCTTTCAAGAGCCGCCGCTCTTAGTCGTAAAATCTTATCTGTTGATCGCGGAAGAACGAGAAATAAATGATGAAATTATACGCTTATATAATTTTATACGCGTGTGCAACTGTTGACTTCAGTTTCTGACATATGGGTTTATATTAAAATCCAACACCTTTTTTAATTTTGAATTTTCAAGAAGATTCCATTCAATCACTCTGAATTTTTTCCTTTCTTAAATTTATCTGCAGTGATATGAGATACTATTTAAGCTCTTTAAATCATTCATTTTGGAATTGAAGCAGATGAAATTGGCAAATAAGTGATTGTAGCTCAATCAATGACTCTGGTAGCTAAAAGAAGACTCGTGTTGGTTCTCAACGAATTTATATCAACACCAAGTTGAGGATTCAGGTAAGTGTGCTAGGAATTATGTAATTGTTGGTAAAATTTTAATAAATAAAACACAAAAGTTATCTCAATTGAAAATTTTTATCAATCATTTTGGAACATTTTTTTATTCTGATGAATAAATCTAGCTAAATAGATGTCTAAATTCTATATATTAAAACTCATGTTATAATTAAATGTTTATAATATTTTTTTTTGTAAAATCATTGAGAGTACAATTCAATAATGATAATAACAAAAAAAAAATTTTAAATTACCGTAATAAATACCAAAAAAACAATAATTAAAAAATACAAAATTAAATCGACCAATCAGAAAAGCGTAACCATTTTATTCGTGCGTTGATTGGTCGATTTTATTTTTAAATATTCGAAATGAATAAAAATAAAATAATTTTTTACATTGTTAACTTGCGACAGTTATTATTTTATTTACTTCCTAATACTTATTTATTAGTTTCAATTATCATAAATAAACAAAGCTGACAACATTTGTAATAATTAATATGTTCATTAACACTTTTAAATTGACAAGAAATTTTTTAATTCACCAGAATGTGTGTAAGATATCTGTATCATTACTTATTTCACCACAACACATTAAACTGCCTAACAATTTTACTATAAAATATTCTCAGTACATAAAACTAGAAAAATTTGCCCTGGTGCGATCAAGATATTGCCATAAATCAGAAAACTTTCTTTTAGCTGAAAAAGTTGATAGACTTTAATTGTATGAAAGTTCATGAGAAAACAGGCCATGAATGATGCCGAATCCACTGGAATTTCCATTGTATTTTATACCAGAAGAGAAAAATACTGTTATCATTATCTTTTTTTTGCTAATAATCATGAACTGTAACGTAATACAACTATTCAAACGCTGGAAAGAAGAGATATTCAACAATTAGAAAAAAAAAAATAATTTAAACAATAACAATAAAAAATTGTTCTTCACTGGTAATATTTACTTTCAATGAGCTTACATTGATTGATATTCTTTATTTATTTTAAATGAATTCACAAAATTATGAACTAATTAAAATTTAATAAATAATTCCACTTTTTTTTTTTCTACCAAACGAAAATGATGAAGTTGAACAAATTGAATCACATGGCGAATGGAATCGAATCAGGATTAAGCTGATATTTGTCACATGCCAATAAAAACTCACATTCCATTCGTTCCCATTCTTTCTTTCTCTTTTCTTGTATTGACAATTAGTATTAATAAGCTTTGAATGATAACTCAAGTTTTTTTTAATCTCGATCATAGCAACAATCACTTTTTACTTTGATCTGATTTCATGTCATGAAATAGACTTGAATTCATTACTCTAGTATACATGAAACCCAAGTTGTGTCATTTCCAGTGGGGAAATGAAACTTAATTCAGCATGCTGTTAATCCAGTCATGTAGGAAAGTAAAGAAAAAAAAAATTCAATTGCTTGACAATAAAATTAGTATCAGTATCAGCAGTGAGAATATTTTTTGTGTGAGTATGTAAATATGTTGTGCATCCTTTGAAGTGAAAGATATAAATGACGACAATGTATTTAGATTGGGAAAACAGAAAACAACTCTGCTCAGAGTGCGAAATAACATCTGTTTGCATTCATGAGTTGACTATTATTTAGCTAAATCTACCTTATGGGATTAAATAATAAATTGTTTGTAAAAATTTTCAACTTTTTATACAAAAATCAATGTGAAATTCGATATTTTTTCAATTTATCTATAAAAGATAATTGTTAAAAAAAAATTCTAAATAAAACCATGCTGTAAATTTATTTTGTTTAATTTTTTTTAAGCATCTTTTTATTTAAACAAAAACATAAAGTAGCCAAAAATAAATTGTTTAGTTGTTGGATGACTATTACAAGTTTTATTCAGCACAGTTTTTAATCTTAAAAAGCCATTTCAAGGAAAGGAGAAGCAAAAAAGATGAAAACAGAAAATTCTTAGCTTTTTAGGTCAAAGTGAACTGCTTTTTTTTTTTAATATTTTCTGTTTTAAATAAAAATTACATTTTTTACTGTCTAGTTTAGAGGCCAAAAAATAAATTACGATAATTACTCAAACAGTTTGGAGTATATTTCTCCCAGAAATTTATCAAATTCATCATAATAAATAATCAAAAAGTCACGAATGTTTTCTGATGAGCTTTTAATTAATTCACTAATATGAATGTATCAGAAATAAATAATGTAAACCAACAAGAATGTTGTCATTACAAATAAGAAATCCAAGTTATTCGTATCATCCTAGAGTTATTGAATGAACGCATTTTTATTGAAAGGACAATCAAAGACATTCTGATATTATTTATATTTAGTTATTATTGAATTAATTTCCTGTAATGTCAACATAACATTTTATATATTTATTTTACCTTTCTATACATGGAGTAAAATTTTTCCTCAGTTATATTTATTTTAGAGAAAATTCCTGTACAGTAAAATATAATGATTTTTCATTTTTTTCCCTTGGTATACAGTAAGGTAAAAATTAAAAAAAAAAAAAAGATTTATTTATCAGAAAATGAAGCGAGTTTTATACTGTAATTGATATTTCTCTTCCCATGGACTTGAGAAACAGTCGAGTACCCACGTAGCAGAATCCTCTCATATCATACTCGACTTTTTCTCTCGTTCATCTTAGAAAATGAAAATACAACAAAAACATTAATCAGCCTATTCCTGCAACATACCAGTATTCCTTGTATTGTTGTAGCTTTTTAACGATTGTTATGGCAATAACTGCCTACGGACGTGAACTGAAATACCCGAGTGGTGAGTTAATATGAGAGTATGGTACCATAAAGCATAGACAGGCATACAGTACACGATAAATGGATAAAAAATGTCAGAATGCCAGGAGCAAAATGTAATAAGCCAAAAGAAAATAGTGATGATGGTGAAGGAGGAAAAGAAAAGAGTCTGTATGGAGAGTAGGGACGTTGAGTTATCGCCGAGAGACGTTTGCCTTGGCTTCTACCAATTAGCTACTTGGTCGATTCGAAACTGAGCTACTACTCCGGAATCCATTCATTAACGGGACGCCGGTCACGAATTGTTTTCATTCATGGATTCTCGTGCGTAGTATAGACACGAGCACGCGCCTCTGAGCGTGTCCTGAATGAACGAGAAGCGGTCTTTTTCTCAGTGTCTTCTCTTCTCTTCTTTCTCTCTCCCTTGCCATTAGCGTGGACGTTAACGCGAATGACTTTGTTTCTACCAGGCGCGACGATACGGTCGATGATTTCAATCTCCTGTGAGTAGGATATCTTATCCTCGTTCCGCACTCGGTGGCTCGAGAAATCCTTTTGACCGTCTCTATCATCCAATGCGATTGAATTAAAGATTCGACGTTAATTGGTATCTTATTATCATGTTCCCTCTTAATTTCTTAATTACTTTTCTATATAGAGGCACCTGAGAGACACTGGGCTTTCGAGAGCTTCAATAATCATTATGTATGTCTACTGTAGTTTTGATACAGATGTCCTTTCATGCTTCTTACATTCAGAAACAACTTTACATCCTGGTTGGAATTATTTCATGCCAGATTAGACTATGAAATGATCAGAAGGTAACAATTACCTTATGAAAGAGAATATTCTTTAAAAAATGGAGCAGTGCAATTCAGTGAGCATTGCAAGAGCATTGATCAGCCTTTAGATGGAAAAAATATTCGACAGGATGCTAAAGGGATAAAATTAACCCTCTAGTGAATTATCCATTATTGATTAAAAAAAAAAAAATTAATACAGTTTGTTAATGTTTTAAAATTTTTTTCCAGAATGTTTAAACTAACTGGAGGTCCGTAATGCTGAAAGAAGTGGGTTGTGGAAGTAACACACCCCCATCAGGGGAGCGCACCCCTCGACAAGATGTAGAAAATGAACGACATTTGGTGGATGGCGGACTAGCTTGTGCAGGTTTTTTATTCATAGTTTACTTTTGACACTCAAGTAATTTATTCACAACTATTCTATATTATATTTTAAAAGTTGGTAACACTGCTCAATCAACCAATTGATTAATTAACCATGATCAAATTCATCCTAACAGCAAAACAAAATCACTACTTGAGATTAAATGAAATTAATGATTGTAATTAACTACACATTACATATATCTGATGTTAATCAATCTTACATTTTATTTCAATAGCTATAAATATTTATAATTGATAATTACAAGAGCTAATAATTATTATATTACACGTGAATGCTTCTGTAGGTTGTGGTCAAGATATTGCTGAAAGATGGTACCTGAGGGTGACTGATCGAGCATGGCACTGTGGCTGTCTTCGGTGCTGTCACTGCAGGGTGCCTTTGGCAGCTGAACTCACGTGTTTCTCCAGGGATGGAAATATTTACTGCAAAGAGGATTATTACAGGTTAGTACGAAATAAATGATCATAGTTTCTGGGGGGGGGGAAGAGAACTCAATGCAGTCCTCTATCTAAATTTCACGGTCTCCTATGCTCTTCCAAGCTCTCTACCATCTTGATATTTATTACGGCAGTTTCAAATTTGCATAAAAGTCAGTTGTAATTCTTTGGACCACACAAAATGTTTGCTAATAGACACTGTTTAAATACTACTTTTGTTGGTATTTTGATGAAATGGTTATTATTTTTTTATCGATCATCACTATTGATAGATAATTTTTAAAAACTTTTTTATTTTTTAGATATTATATCGTTTATTGTTATGTAATGTGAACATGAAAGAACAAGGAAGACAACATGATGTAACACAACAACAGTTTAAAAATATTTTGATTGACGCAACTTGTTGTTTAGTAGACGTGGAAATCGCAGTCTCGTTACCCGTTGATTTATTATTACGACATACAATTGCACATATTCTAACATCTGGGATGCACAGGAAAAGTCTTATCTTTTACCGGTTCATATTTTTTTATCATTCAAAAGTGAAAGCTCCTATTTAAAATAAGAAAAAAAAGCTAACAATCATTTTGATTGTTCTATTGTTTTAGAATATTTTGAATACGCACTATCTTCATTAGAAATTCATTGATTTAAACTTTTTAACAGACTTGGTTATAAAAAAATTATAATAAAAGCTCTTATCATCTGGTAATATTCATGAAAAGTTTCCATTTCTCTTCACTCTTTCTTTTCTATTATAACTGGATTTGCAATCAAATCTTTTACATATTTTATTTTATGTATTATCTCTTCAACATAGAATTTTTTTTTGATAAAATAGATATTCAATGGAAAATAGAAAATCTTAAAAAAAGAATAATGCTACCATCTCAATAGAAAAAAAAACAATTTCATTTGTAACTATTGAAAATTTTGATTTTATTAATTAAAAAAAAAAAAATATTACATGTTGACAGTAAATTTTTTTCTCAATGTATAAAATTGGAAATAGAGAGGATGAGAGAGAAATGTAAATTGAAGTTGATATTTCCATGGTTCTGGTTCGTTAGGGTAGAAAACATCACTCCATGCAATATGCAACAATAAAATACGACTCGTGGTTGGACCAGAGATGTTGGGATGAATAGAAGTATGAGAGTCGTAGCAGGCGAATAAAAGCAATAAGAAGAAAAGCAAATGCCTTTGTCTCTATCGTTGTATATTTCAGAAATGGCTAAGTCGTGAAGCTTTAGTTCTTTCGATACCAAGAATTAAAAGCCTCTATATTGTCGAATGAAAATATAGCGGCAGTGGAGAGAAAGCAGAAAGAGAGAGAGAAAGAGTATTGTCTGCCATTTCTGGGATATTTGTGGTGGTCTATTGAAATGCGGGAGGGCTTCTTTAAAGGAAGATACGTCAGATCTTATTTGCAAAGCCATTATTATAGTCTTTGCTGGTACCTTGTTGTCATAATCAGCAAAAAACGTGGGAGTCACGTTGGCAGAGAATTCTATTGTTCATTACAAAGGTGTACAATGATTTTGACGTTAACGAAAGTAATGTCGGCTTTTAAATGATCTTGACTTATCTTATTTTTAAAATGGTATTGACTTCAGCTTCTGATAATTGGAACCGTCAAGATCATTTATTCATGCTGAAGACATATTCAAAGTCCATGACATTTTCAAGATCAATCTCCACTTTTAATTCTTTTAATTATCAATTCCAACATGAACTAATTATTTTATCAGACAATATTTCCAAAAATAATGATTGTTGGTTGCTATTGCAACTCTGCTATCTTTACTCTCCCATTTGATGCTATTGAAATGCCTTACATTCATTTTCATTTATTGAAAATCTCAGTTTTTTGGAGTGTTTTACTTCAATACACTGAAAGTATCTAATTAAAAATAATAATCTGCTAGAGTAATATAAAAGTTTAGATAAAATGAGGTGTAAAACTTGTAGATCATGGTGATACAAACCTTCCTACATGATGATCATAATTTCATATTTTCCAGACTCTTCGCAGTCTCAAGATGTTCACGTTGCCGAGCAGGAATCTCTGCTTCAGAATTAGTAATGAGAGCTAGAGAATTAGTTTACCACATAGCCTGTTTCGTCTGTGCTTCTTGTGGTATTCCTCTGAATAAGGGTGATCATTTTGGACAACGTAATGGCCTCGTTTATTGCAGGTAATTTTTTTCATTAAATTTCTAAAACACCCAAGAACATAAGTTGTTTTTTGTCGACATTAAAAAACAAAACCTTTGCTTACAGACCTCATTATGAACTAATTTGCTGTACTGCCGATTATGGGAACACTTCTGGAAGTGTTGAAGATCTTGGTTCTCCAGGAGTTTCACCACTTCCGGGTTATTACAGTGCAGCAGAGCAAAGTCCAGTTGCGTCAGTACAGAAAGGACGGCCTAGAAAGAGAAAACTATCAGAAGTTACTGGATCAGAAATGTCTGTGTCTATGAGGCTTGGAGCTGGAGGACTAGGTAAGTTTTGAATAGAGTGTCCCCTCATTATTGTGTATAAAGTAGAACAAAAGATCTCATGAGAAGTAAAAACATTCAGACAGTATTGAATAAAGTATTACTATTCTCAAGAATACACCCTCGTGAAAATGAATGCATGACAATTGCTTGGTAAATACAACAGCTCAATGGTCTGCTGAGTATTAAGCAAATAATTTTTTTATCAATTCGCTTGCCAGCCGGCCAATTACACTCTCGACCATTGATAGACGTTTTTTGTTTACTTCTAACTGCTTCGTTAATTGATGTCACGCTTATCAGCTGGTTGTATGATTCCAAACCAAGCTAATGAATCAAAGCAAACTTGTCCATTGGTGGAAATGAATATTAACATCTAACACCTAATTAGTAGTAAAAACCTAAGTATGATGAGACACTAGAATGTGATACAATGAGTATTTCAAGTATTGATAGGACTGAAATGTTGATGATGCTGATCAAGATCCAAAGACATTCCAAAAAGTTTAATTGGAGAAATGCTATAACAAATGATATGAACAAAGTTGGTGGATAAAAAAGGTCTGATAGTCAACACAAACCTAAACTAATTATGACAAGTGGTATCGCAAACTAACGGATGAATACCCTGATCACGTCATTCTCAGTTATTTTATAATCGTTGGACAATTAAAGAAATACCACTAAGTTCGCAACGAAGAATTTATGACCAGGAGCTATAAAATTGTTGGTTCAGTCTCACTATCAGGTTTCTCAATGCCTATTTTTTCTCATTCCATCCACCTATCATATCTTGGTACCAAAAATAACAAAATGATCCAAGTTATAGCAGCATTATTATAACTATCAAATGTTTATATGACATTAGTTGATCAATATTTCATTGATTTAAGTTGAAATGAAATAGAAGTAATGTTTATAGATTATAAAGGACTGATAAAAGAGTAATATATCGTGGATAGGTAATAAAAAAGCAAAAAAAGGATGAAAGAAAGAAGTACGTTGGGGCCCGCGGAGACAGTGACAGATGGGTATCGATGCTGAGATGCATCGATTGGCCGCTCCCTCCCGGAAAAGAATGCCGCCGCGGACCAATACCCAGCCACTGCGACCAGAATGGCCGTCGAACATTGATACCTACATTCCCTTACTTGCTGCTTCTTTCTTATTTTCTTTTCTTTGTACCATCTCTCCCTTATCCAACTTAGCAGTTCGTTCCCAATTTTTGTCCACTACGTGACAAATTGTGACCTCATTCTTGAAGCATCCATTCCGCATCAACTGTCTTCCTCGCAATACGTGTGCCAGATCTCCTTGACATGATCGCAAAAATAGCCTCCACTTAATTAGGCACTTGTGCATCGTTAAGTTTTTCAGATCAAGGGAGCACATACCATGTAGTAAGGTTCTTTCTTACACCGGAAGTTATACACCTTGTTGAAATATTTTCTTTTGCTGTAAGTTTAATACTAGCAAATCATAATATATATTTCTTTCTTTCTTTCATCTTTAATGTATTTTTATTTTATTATTCAATGATTATTTTATTTGATAAATACAATCGATAAACTTTAATGTAAAGATTTTTATTGGTTCCCTAAAATTGGTAATGGCGTCTCACAACCTGTCTTTCAAGACTGTTCCGTTATACTTGAACCAATCGATCCGGTCTTCAATGCTTTTTTCCAAGGCAGCTGCTACGCTTTTTTTCCTCCCCACAATCCATTGTCTTCTTTTTATTATTACCAAGTTAATACATGGTCCATCCAGAGCACGTGCTTTCAACATTTCCTCTGAACAAATCATGTTTACTAATTGTACCACGAATCTACTATTATTTTTATTTATTTACAGAATTACTTCACCCAAATGAATTATCATCGTCCATGGAATCATTAACAGCGTATGATACATCAGTTGGTTCACCTGGTCCAGTTCACTCAACCCAACGAACCAAACGCATGAGGACGAGCTTTAAGCATCATCAATTACGTACTATGAAAAGTTACTTTGCTATTAATCAAAACCCTGATGCCAAGGATCTTAAACAATTGGCCCAGAAGACAGGACTTTCTAAACGAGTACTTCAGGTATGGCTTTATTTTGTTAATTTTGTTAGAGGATTTATTTGTGATGTTCTTATCAGGTTTGGTTCCAAAATGCCAGAGCAAAATGGCGACGTAACATGATGAGACAAGAAGGAAATAGTGGAACTAATAGTGTTGGATGTCCTGGAACACCAGTGCCATCATCAACTGGCAATTCTCCTAGTCTTGGACCCAGTTCTTCATTCCTTGGAGATAGCAATAGCCAACCATCAACTTCCATGGATGAAATTCATGCTCTTCATCATTTACACTCTAGTGTGTCACCACAAGTTTCATTCTCTGATCTTTATTGACATCAACTGCAGCTTAAAAAATAATGCTGCTGGTAGTTTGATGAAGAGTTGAACAAACAATAGACTTACGGTGCTAAGTGCTTACTAATTTAATGGGTGTCATATAAAAAGTAATATTTAAATATATTTATCAGTTTGCTTATAATCATTAGTAAACTAATTTTAGATATATCTAAATAAAGATCTCATTTTTTAAATTAATACAGCCATATTCTATCTGATGACGTATTATAAAGTGATGGAGAAATAGAGGGAAAGAGTTGGGATCAAATGGTGATTAATAAGGGATCATTTTTAGGATTATTCATTGTGAGTGGATTTAGAAATAGTGATAAATAACAATTATTAATTAGAACTAGTGGACAGACATTTTTCTCACTATATAACTGATGATTACTCGTAAAAGTAAATATGAAACCACCATCTTCGTATTAGATGACAAGAAAAATTCAAAATTATGTGCGGGAAAACAATCACAAAGAAATGAACTGGATCACATTTTGATTGTAAATTGACATTAGGCTTTCATAAAACAACAATAATAATTATCTTAATTTTTATTATTTAAATATTAGGATTAAAAAATCTAAATAATTTAAGTCTAATTTATTAAACATAAAATTTATTTTTGAAAAAAAAAAAAACTATTACGAGTGAGAATATTTGTTCATCCTATCAAATCGTATTTTTGGGTGGAGTTCTATCTCTTGACTATCCTCAAATAGCTGTCTGGTCTGTATCGTCGTTTTTCTACTTAGAACATCAGTTCTCATGAATACTTATGGAATAGGTTTTTAGATGAGAGAGTCTTAAGGTGTTGCCTAGAAATAATAAAATGCTAAAATGTTTTTAATTAGTCATGTCAGTATGTTGCTTAACTTATAAAAAATTTTGCTTTTTCTAAAAAATGTGCAATATATTTTAGTAATGAAAACCTAAACAGCTTTCATTTACTCTAGTATTAATATTTCACGATCCATAAATGATAAAAGCAATTTTGGTCTTAATTTGAGCTAGAGTCTCCCTTGTAATATTTATTGTTTATTAATACACTTTATTATTATACTCTTTTTATTTTAATTTTATTTACTCTAGATTTAATAACTTTTTTTTAATATTTTTGAATTTATCCAAAGCAAGTACTGATGTTATTTGTGTTCAGGAAAAAACCTTATGAACTAAACATGTATGATCAGGTGATATCAGTTCTAACTGTAATTCTACTTCCGGTTGAAACTTTTGCATTAAAAAATTATTCTTAAATTAATTTATTAAATATTTTCAAGTACTCTCTAAAATGAATCAGTGGATATTCACTGATTATTGGTGCTAATTCTATCATTGAATGAACCAGTAATTGGATTAGCACTGAAAATCAGTGAATATTCACTGATTTTCAGTCGTTTTCACTGATTCAGTTAAAGAGAGTATTTCATTCATATTATTTTTTATTTAAAAAAATTAGCTATAAAATGATCAGTATGATAATTTATTATTGTCAATAAGTTGAGAACTGATTTTTTTTTTATCTTTTATGAGAAGTAGATGTGTATACATTGAATGAGATGAACAATAACAAATTTTTGCAAGTTATGTTTAGTATTAAATCGGTATAAAATCGTACATTTTAAATAGTAAAGAGTTAGTAGGTACTGATGAATTCTAATTAGCATCAAATTAGGTATATAAAAATTTCACGAAGACAAGGGACACGAAGGCGTGTCTTTCGGTCATTCTACTTATAGAGCTTATACTAACACATTGAGTCTCGTATATAAATTTTAACTCTACTCAGGTTGTACAAGTACACAAGGTCTAAACTCTTTTCATGCTTACGAGTATGGGAGTGAGAACCACATGTCGTATATTTTGTCGGCGCTCATATAAGTTAATTTTCAATCTATATGCGGGTTTCGATGGTTGCGCCGCGACTCATCAACAAAATGAAGAAATTCAAACTCTCGTTAATATTTAATGAATAAAATAAAAAAAAGTAAAAGTTACAATTATAAGTAATTTTATAAAAATGACCATCAGTGTTATCTGGACAAAATATTAAAAAAAAAAAAAAAGTTTTAACAATTGGAATCAATAGAAAAAGAGTGTTGGAAATATTGGAGATAAATAAAAGCGGAAATTCATAAATGCAGAAAATGGAGATCAGTGTTCCATACCTGATTGAATTGGACGTTAATTAAATTGGACTCGTTAAGTAGAGGAACAAGTGTGACTGGAATAATGAGGGGTTTGTGTAATAATAAATATATAAATAAAGTATGTGTCTATGATGGGATTGATTAAGGGTAGATGGTTGAGGAGCAAACAATAAAAAGTAAATTTAGTTAATAATGAAAGTTTTATCCAGGTGAATGTTTCCCACGGAGAGAGTCCAAGAGTATCTTACGAAGAATCCATCTCCCCTCAATCCTCTCGAATCATAAATCCCACCAGTCTCGTCTGGTTGCGATAAAACCTCGGTCTCCTAAACCACCCGGATCGATTCGTCCGCGACGCCGTTTGATGTACCGCGCAAGAAAGCGCGCAGCGGTATTTCCACTGTCCCACCCTAAGTTGTGTCTGACTTAGGATGGCAAAAGACAGGGAAAATAAAACAACTAAACTTGTAGCTTCTATACGAATGATGAGAGATTAAAAAAGTGGACCAATTTTCAGTAATTTGTACGCGAAAGGCTTTGAGACTCATCGTGACAGCAGAAAAGACCATCAGCGCGCCATCTACGCAAAATAAATGCGCATAAGGAGACGACGCAAGTACGCATGCGTATAAGGGTGTGAGGGTCAGCGGAAAGGGAGCTGCGACTGGCGATTTTGTCGAGAGAGGGAAGTGGAGGTAGAGAGGATCCGGTCGATAGTCTTTTGTTCTGTCAAACGTCGGAACGTGGACCGCGCCCGGTTTCTCTTCCCTCTTTTCTCTTCTGTCCTCTTTGCCATCACAACTGCCCTCCCGGTTTCTTCTACTCGTGGAAACAGGCGATGAGGACGATACAGACGCCGTAAGTTTTTATTGGGGCGGCTGCGATCTCTCTCACTGTTCGTATGTATTTGTTCTTTATTCTCTATACCGTGTGTCTTTCTTTTCTACTGTCGCTTCCCGATATGACCATGTGCTACACGGTTTTGACTCTGACGACACTCTTCTTGTATTTACAGCAAGAAGAAGGGTTGCCAGCTGCAGTGCGTAGAAGACTCTTCTAAAAGACCGCTGAATCGTTGTCTTCTTTTCATTCCGTGTATATATACTTGGATTTTACCTTTCTTCATGACAGTTTCTACTGAGAATGTATTCAATCTCATTCAGCTAAAAACTCATTTGTTACCACTAATTAATGGCCATTTTCTTTCACTGATTTTGATTAATCTTATCAACGCTAACTACTTATTTATCTCATCAAATCAAACTATTTAAATTTACTTTCACCAATTATTATTATCTCCAAAATTGAATCAATGAAAATCAGTGCGAAACAGTGTATATTCACTGATTTACAGTTATAAAGACAGCGTGACTTAAATCAACAGTACATTTGTAACTGTAAATTACTAAATAATAACTATTTTTCAGTAAAATTTATTTAAAATAAATCAGTGAAATATGTACTAATTTTTTGAATCAGTGAAATAGTCACTGATCTATTTATTACTTTTTTTAGTTTTATTTCTATTCACTGATTAATAAATAAAAATAAATAAAAATTATTTTTTTCTATATAACACATATGTTTATAATTCAGTGATAAATTATCCATCTTCAGTATCAATGCATTATTCTATTTATCATTGAAAGCGTATGTACACAGTATTATTGATCTAATTAAATCCAAGATATTCAGTACTTTCTAAAAATTAATTAATAAAAATTACTACGAAACAGTGAATGTTCACTAATTATTGACTTATACTTTTAAATGATTTTCACTGATTTCCTGGTAACTAAAAATTTCACTGATCCATTTAATTTAATTTCACTGATGATTAATTATGTGATTACTTCATCAAGATAAGTAAATTTTCCAGTGATAATCAGTGAATATTCAGTAAAGTTACACTGATTTATTTTAAAGAGTATAATTGATGTTGTACATCTAACGGCATATAAAGGCCTTGGTAGGATGCAAAGTGAAAGAGAGAAACAGTAAAGCTCGATTCCGTGTGTTTAAGTGAGTTGACGATAACGATAATGACTACTGCAGTATATCCTCATGAGTTTAGATAAAAGATTTCTAAAAGAGTAGAGAAATGGTAGATTGTTGGTAAAAGACTATTCTAAAGCAGATGCTATTGCATATGGAGAACAGGAAAGGAAAGAAAGATGGCTTCTTTTTCCCCCTCATGCATTGTCTACCGCGCTTGCCATTGTAAATAATGTCTCCAGCGTCCGAAGAGCAAACACAGAGGTTGGAGTTAACTGGAAACCTCTGTGGTTGGACTCGACGTTGGCTTGGAACCTGTCGCGCATAAACTGATGCGGTCTCGATGTCCCTTTCATTCCTCGTTCTCATTGGTCGATCAGGTTTAAGTCTTTACCCAATTCCCGATAACAGATCCTTTTTTGCTACTGTAAATTTACTGTGGCTATTTAAGATCGATATTTTTGTCATGTAGAATTATATATTGAAATTATACATCCTAAACGAGTATTCATTTTTAATCGAAACATCTTTTTTTCAGTTATTTATTTATTATTTATTTCAGATTTTTGTAAATTGATCCATTTTTTTTTTTATCATCACTTTGTTTTTAGTGGATGATTAATAAGACTGCTTTTAGACATTTATTGAGACACAGATGACTTATGGGAAGTTTTATCGAACTGACATTTGTACAAATTACAATAACACATGTAAATTCTAGAGTTTATAATATTTGTTTTTAACAAATACATGAATATTTTTGGATAATTGAATGATGCTATACAATTTGTAGAATAATTAAATAAAAAAATAATTGAGAAAAGAAGTGATAACTTTAATCAGTAGAGCATCAAAAATGATATATAATCAGACAAAATTTTTTTTCAATTCATTTTTGAACATGAGTCAAAGAAATCATCTGTTATTTATTATGTTAATATTTTAATAAATGTTAATAGACTTCACATAAAAAATGGACATTTATCAATAATGAACCAACATGATATATGCAAGCTTCATCAATGTTATTCTACATCACCTTTTTGTTGTTCTTCCACTGATAATCATTTACTCTAACCGATCATGAACAAGATAAAAAAAAGATGCCTCATGCATCGAACAATTTTTCAATTAAATATCATTAGTTTAATATTCACCGAATGGTGACTATTGGACTTCAACTCATACAACTGAAGAGGGTTTTTTTAAAATCTCGAGCGCATTTGAAATTCGATGTATTTTGGTCGAACTACCCTGTAGGTGTAGACTGTTATCTCGGTGGACTCGTGAGACAGGAAGAGTATAGAAAGAGTAGAGGAAAAAAAGAGACCCCGGAGCACAAGAGGAAGGCCGATCTGGACCCTTG